AGGAGGAGCTTATCTGTCCGCTTGACTCGAAATTGGAAATCGAAGTGCGGGAGCCTTCCAGAGCCCGAAACCTCGGTCCCTGGACAACCCTTTTTGGGGCAGCCCTCAGCGTGCCCCTTACTATCCCTGGTTGGCTGGCCCAAGAACCGATGCCAAGCTCTGGTTGGTCCTGCTAGTTTTAGGCTTACTGGCCTTTACTTCCCCGTTACGCGGGTCCTCCCCCCCCCTCCCTCGCAGCGGGCTCCGACAAAGGCCCGTGCGATAAATCTGGCTTGCTTGGCCTCGACACTTTTATGGCCGAAACCTTTTAATTTCGTCGCACCTGCCCCGAGTTACTTGTGTTTTCTAAGAACGACTCTTACAATTTGATCCCTGTCACATGTGCAGGTGCATTCCGTCGCGTTTTTGTATTTTGTCAGTTTAGGCGGAGTGCCTTGTTGCTCAATTTACCTTTTTAATGCTAGATTACTCCTAGGTCACTACAGACAACAGATCACAAAGGTGATATTTTTTTCACTTCATTATTTTTTCAAGGCGTTGACCTAAATCAAGTAAACGTTTTCTTCTCACGTTTTTCTTTATTGAGGTAATCGCGATTTCGAACAACCCTCACAACCTCACATGCATATCTAAAATTTTTTAAAGCCAAGCTTCAGAGATTTCTGCCTGAAAATAGGATCGGCCGAGAATGTGAGCCACTAAGAGCTGGACCGCGTTTAACAGAAAGGAACCGAGCCACATCAGCTACTGCCAAATTTAACCGGGCAATTTAATTTTTTACGAGAGAACGTTTGTGCGGATTCCTTCGAAACTCTTGAGGAATTTGCTTCTCACTATCCAGATAATTCACTGAAATTCGCACAAAAATCCGCACATTTTTCATTTACAAAATTAAATTGCCCAATTAAATTTGGCAATAGCTGATGTGGCTTGGTTCCTTTCAGAATGACGCGATCCAGCTGTAAGTGGATTTCAAGAGGCCTCAAAAGTATCGGGAGGCGACCCGAGGGATTTCTACGACGTCGACGGGAGCGGAATCGAGCAGTGGCGTGGCGTGAATGATCGATTATCGATATTTCCCCATTTGAATCCGTGCTAAAGAATCGATTATTAAGGTGTTCGCTGCGAACACCATGTTAATCGATCCTTTTCCATAGGTCCAAATGACAGAGCAATCGATATATCGCAAAACACGTCACGCCACTGGAACCGAGAACTGGGAGGGATTCACCGTGCAAAACAGGAATAAGAAAACCGGACTGCAGCGCCTGTACGTAAACGAAACCTTTCGAGTTTTTTTAAAAACGTATCGAGGAATTTCAAAGGCTCGAATCTCAAGTAGCATTTTTCAACGGACAAATCGGGATAAATTGCAATTTTATCGGCGATAAAATCGCTAGGATCATCAACATCTGAGCGATTATCCTCGATCTTATCGAGGTAAAATCGCGATTTTGTCGCCCAGCAATTTATCGCGATATTTTCGAAATAAAAATCGCGATAAATGGCGATTTAATCTCGATGTGTAGCGATTTAATCGCCATATTTTTAATGCGATAATATCTCGATATATTGCCACCGATAAAATCGATATTCATTGCGATCACTGCTACATAGGATATTCGGCAAATCTTTAGACGCATCGCTTCACTCGAAAAATGATTTCGTGAGAATCGGCCTGGTAGATATCCAAAACTCACCGGTACAAGAAATCGCTTCTTTTTTACACATCAACGGTGAAACTACCGGACCACGTACTTATCTCGTTTGCGGTGTTCAAAATCTCCCCTTCCAATTTTTTTTTTTTTTTTTAAAAGGGAAAACAAATCACTATTATTTCTTGAAATTTTCACTAAGTTTTTGTTTGCACAGAGAAGAAAAATCACGGAAGTTTTCATTAATTGACGTTGAGTGGTTTTCCATTTAAAAAATAAAGTATGGTTGGAAGTCTACAACGTCGTAAACCAAGACAAGTGGTCTGGTAGTTTCACCGTCGATATAGAAGATACGACGTTTATCGATTTTATGAGAGTTACGCTTGAGAAAATTTTCGTCGGTGCTAAAACCCGTGAGAGTCAAGCGTTTTTCCCCCGCCGAAATGTGTAATTGTGTATTTTACTCCAGGGGTGCAGAATCTTCCAAGCTTCTACATTTACACGCGCCCAGCTTTCCACATTTTCCTCGTCGGTTTTCCACAAAATTTCCCACCAATTTAAAAAAATGAACTTTTTCTCCTGTTTCCCTTTGATTTTCGACTTTTGGCCCTTCAAACTGTTCCCTTCCTCCACACTTTTGGGGATTTTCCATATTTTCACGCGCTCGCCCGTGCACGTGATCGAGCAGTTTCTGCACTCGGGTTACTCTTTTCAACCCTGAAATCATCACCTTCCAGGCAAAGTATCACAAGCTCCATGCGACGTTTAAAAATTTCCGCCGCCATTTTATTTTTATACAGAGGAATTGTTCAACGAAGCTGTCCGAAAATTACACCGAATTTTCTTTGTGCTGCCGATAAAATCTAGTAAAATTTTCAAACAGATTCAACCAACAATTTCTCAGTAAAAAAATAAAATGGCGGCGGAAATTTTTAATCGTCACATGGTGCTTGTGATACTTCGGTCGGAAGGTGACGAAATTTTGGTGAAAATTACACACGGAGAGCCGGTTGATTGTTCGCGTTCTTTTCATTTTACGTTGTTTCAGAGCTTTTCACTTTCATGGATAGGCGGTAGGAGAGATATTTACATTAAGAATGACTGTAAATTTACTTTCGTTCAAAATTTTAGAAAACCGAAAGCACCGCGTGAAAGCTCGCGACATCGTGATGAAAAAATGTATGCCTAAAAGGCTGCATGCCTAACGCATTGGTGGCCTCTAAACGTGTGAGTAATCGGCAAGAAGTGGTCAAAAACGCCAGGAAAATCACTGATACTGAACACACAAATTATTCCCTAATCAATTGTAATTAATTACAGAATGGGGAGGTAAAGGCGGACGGAAGGGGAAACAACCCCAATGAATGCCCGGCTGATCGATCTCCTATCTGCCCGGCGCATTGGAAGATGATCTTTTCTTTAGCCTGTTGTTGTGAGGTTTCTTGTCCAAATCCAAAAGAGCCACTCCCCTCTCTCATGTACTTGATGGGATCCCCTCCCCCCTATTCGCACCTCCCTCCTAAACAGCGGTTCCTGCGTGAAGGGGGTGCTAGGCACTCTGAAATTTTGTTGAAAATTACTTACTCCCTAGAGACACTTCACGGCTAAAATCAGCAGTTTTTAAACCTTTCGGACTTCCAAAATTGTGTAAGTTTTAAACCATCCTGTTGAATACTGAAGAGGACTCTTTCCTCTTACTCATAAATGTATTGAGTATTTTCATCCATATTGCAAAAAGAGAATAAGCAAAAAATGTTGTCAAAGATGGGATTAAGAAAAATATATGCTCAGTTGATCAGAGAAAAATAATTCCTCATTAAGTTAAACAATTTAGAAGATAGAGATAGAAAAGAGTTCGCGTTTCAGTTAATACAATCCTACTGCCTAGTTTGTAACACACTTCTTCAAATTTATCACGTATGCTGGCAGTTTTTCTCGGTGGCCAGCAGTCACGTTCGCTCCGAGAGAGCCCTAACTTAAATGAACAAACCTTCACACAAACTGATATAAACTCTCCTTGCGTAAGACTTCCATTGATCTAAAGCTTCTGTTTTTGCAAAATAAGGAACGAAAAAGGAAAAAAGCGCTTGAAAACGATTGAAATCATACAAGAGAAGAAGCTAGTGGCATTGTTTGTTTACTAAGGATAGCAGTCCTTCCTCCTCTGCCTGTGTAAACTTGGAAAAGCGTTTTACGAACAATGCAAATTGCGAGCTGAAGAATGGATTTCAGACTTTTTTGTCGTGCCAAACGTTATTTTCGAGCCATTTTACACATAAAGGGTATATTTATTTGGTTGAATCTCTTTCATGCAACGGACCCATTGTGTTCATAGAATTTTAGCCGATTAATCAATTGACTCGAGGCTGACTAGTTCACAATTAGAATAATAAAGAGAAAAATAAAAAGGAAAAAAATAAAAATAAAAAAAATGAGAGTAAAACACTTACGATTTTAGGTAGAGAAGATGATGGGACAGAGGATGACGGTACAGGGGGTTTTGGGTCTGGATTCAAAGGCTGGATATTCTTCAGCCGGTCTTGAGCAGGGGTTGCACTCCTCTGTCTGCCTGAAATAGATTTTGATAAATTCTGTGCGGCACTCGTATCATTAGCCAAACCAGCTCCATTCATCAAAGTATGCCCATTATTGATGCCATTGGTAGGGTTGATGCCATTCATTGACAGTGTCTGATTGAGTTGGTTACTCAGGGGGTACTGTATAGTAGGATTGGGAGGCGGTTGGGGGAAATTGATGTAATTGGGTTGACCTGGATTCACTGTATGAATGGCTGGCACAGGTATATGCGGCTGATTCATCATATTGGTGGGAATCATCAGAGGTGATTGAAGCATTTGGGGGAACATTCCCTGTGCTGACCACATATCCAAACCTTGCAATGGTGCTGAGTTGAGCGAAGGAGGATTGCCAAGAGGCTGAAAAATATAAAGTTGATGATAACATTATGATTTATACAACAACGGATCTACAAGAGAGAATTTATACGGCCTGAATGTTGTTGACGACAAACTTTCATGAATGGACTGCTGCTCGCATGCATGTTTGTGTTTGTTATTTAAGTGCTAATTAATGGTCGGCAATGTTAGGAATTTATGGGTGGATCTGGCTTGACTTACGTAAATGAAGTTCAACTTGCGAACAGTATAAAGACGGTAGAATAGTGCTGGCTTCACACTATTCTGCAGGGCAATTGAAGCCAAAACATTTCAAACATTTTAATTAGAGTCAAAAATTTGAACGGCTTAAAATAAGAATAAATACTATTTATGCAAATTGAGTTATATTTAAAGGTTATTTACAACTGAAATCAACCAAATTTGGACCTCTAAGGATAATAGATATGGACCTTTAACAATAATAATTCTTACAACATCAACACTCTGAGGAAAAACATAAAAGAGATTTCCAGACTATTTACATTAAAGGAATTAACAAATTAAAGGATAATATAATTCTAATCATCAAAATTATTTTAATTTTATTCCCCTCTTGCTATGATCTTTGTTCATAATTATGGTGGATGCATAGTTTTAATGCTTTCAATTTAAACTGTGTATTAAAAGACACTATGATAGTACCTAATAACATTAGCAAAAAGTAAGCAGCATCGCTGATAAATAGTAGATTTCCAAAACATGAGAATGACTTGGTTTACATCATCAATTATACAGTCCAATAAACAGTCACAAAATCCTCGAGTTCTCAAGGTTTTCTAGAGAGAATGATGATTTGTGACAGTTTAATGAGTAATATCAATGTATACTTTTAGAGTAAATGGAAAAATTGTGTCTGAAAGTGGAAGGAGTGCAAAGAGTATGAGTTTCAAACAGTAGAGTGAAATTTCTTACCGGGACATGATTATTTTGTGGCCTGCTAGAGGATAGTGCATTTCCAGCTCCTTGCTCCTGATTTTTCTTGGCCTAATGAAAATAAAAGTTGAAAGGTAAACAGTAGTTTCTCTACATGTGGCAGGTTGATAAAAAAAATAATAAATAATTGCTGCTCTTTAAAAAATAATCTTGCATTTTTATAATTCTGCAGACCTAAGTATGAAAGGGAGGGGGGGGTGGTGAAGATACAGTGTTTTATCTTAGAGCATTAAAAGTTTAACTATGAGGTATTATAAGAAGTTAGAATAATTTTTTACCTGATTTGCTTTTGCTTTGGCAAGAACGCCAGCTGGTCCTCTAAGCATTTTTCCTCCACCTTGACTTAAGTCTTCTGCTGACTAAAAAGGAAAAAAAAATTTACTTAACAACTGATCAAAATACCAAAAATATAAAATGAATTACCTAGCTGCCGAAAAGAGGGCTTACCTCTCCACAAAAGTGGCTTTAACTTTAATGAGCTAAAATAAGAACTTGCTTTTCCCTGCCAGGCTATCCAGGCCCCTAAAGCCATTCCATTCCATTTTAAGGAGCCAATTCTTAATTTAACCTAATTTACTGTAAAATTCAGCCATTTTTGCCCACAAAATTTGCAACTTTAGTGCAAATATGGGAATGGCCATAGTTGCTAAGGCACAAGTCAAAAGGAGCCAATGTTACTCCAATGTTAAAATGTTGTTTACACAGGAGTTAGTAGGAAAAATTCTGTTTGTAACTTCAGATACAGGGGAAGCAGATGGCTGTTCTATGAATATTGCTCAGTGGCCGAAATTTTCTGAAAAATTCACTCGCTTTTTATCCAAATTATTTACAATATAGGGATAAAAATACATACCGAATTGTTCACTGCATTAGATTGAGATACTGCTGATGAACTTTCTCCGTTTGATTGAGAGGACGCAATTCCATTTCTTTGCTCCATTTGCTTCTGGAAGCGAGGAGCTAGTGTTTCCGCTTGGAGCCTGTATGTTTGAGCATTCAACTGAAAGGCAAAATAAGAAGATGAAGACGACAGGTACGACATAGTATTAGCTTCTCCCATTAGAAATGCACTGCGCTAAAATTGCCGGCCGCTGATGCGCAGCAGGGTCTCAAAACTCATCCACAGGAAATACTGGCCTGTATGGAGTGGTCTTGCTGGTAAAGTTGCTCTTTGAGGTCCTACAGGAATGAAATTTTGGAAATGACAAAATAATATATTCCACGTTTTATTTCGATTTTCAATCGAACCTAATTCAATATGAAGGGTATTCACATAATGGAGAAATTTTTTGTAAATACCATGGATGAAATAACAACTCTCTTTTAAACATGAGCATCAATAGCCTTGTTGTCACTATTGTGACATGCCAGCCCTTAGTTGTGGAAAAAAATAGAACTCTAAGTGGCATTGTAGCGATCATTTACCTCTGTCAAATGTGCTTAGAATTGCAAAGACACCTCGCAGGAAAGTATTCAATTACAAAAAAATTATTTCCTTTAAGTTCCAGATTTTAGGTCAGTTTCTCAACAAGAAAACCTATGATTTGGCTGGCAATAGATAATTATCATTTTAGGTGGGAGACCCAAGTACCTTGTGTTCAGGCAGAAATCCATAAATCTGCGTTATATTTGCACACATTTTTTCAGATATGTCCTAACCTCCCAAAATATTTTTAGTTTTAGCGATGAGATGAATTTTGAGGAAATGGCAAGGTGAGTGCAAAAATGTATTGAACACCTCTCGTAAAATTGTATTTTTCTAATGCTATGAACTTTGAGCATCAAACTCTCTGCAAATGAATAAGTCGCGTTTAGTAACATCTAGTAAGAAGAATCCCAAGTTTTGAAAAATTTATTTGTGAAAAAAAATTTAATTTAGATACTTTGCTGAAAAAAGGAGAAATCCCCTCGGGAGACAATTCTAATAATAGTGATGTCAGCATCATAATTATTTTTGAAGACCCTGGAAAAACTAGAACATGGATACAACCTAAAAAACAAAGGGATAAGCACCAAAAAGCAAGACTGCCCAAAACAATGTGAAAGCATTGAAGAGGAGATACTTTGGAACAAAGTAAAACGTGTACAAGAAATACAGATGAGGAAATTTAAGGATTAAAATGAATATAAAAGCATGAATTGATGAGAGTTGCATGGAAATTTACAGAAGAGAAAAGCCCACTTGTATCATTTTTTCAAATTAAAAATCAGACGCATTTTGGGCTCAAGTCCATCACTACTGCAACTCTTCTAAAGGCATGGTAATAAACCTGGGCTTGAGACTTGTCTCATTTCACATTTGAGAAGGACATTGCGAGTGAGTTCTTTATGTTTTTAATCAATGAAGACAGTTTAAATTCGTAACACTTGAATTTTAGGGATGCGTGCATTTTAACTGAGCCGAGAAAAAAAGGGAGGCATCATTTTCATGATACTCGATTCCTGATTGGTTAACGGAGAAGTATTAACTCCCCATTTCCCGAGGAGAAAGCACTCGCAGAAAGGAGAGGTCACCTGAAACTAAAAATTTCAACCACCCTTATGAAAAGATAGAAGCAGACTTCTGCTAATCAGGCCTTTGATCAAGTATAACCATTTCATTCCACTATTTTCATTCCAATATCTTTGTCGATTTCCAATTTGTGCCAAAAATTAGACTTGGTATACAGAAGAAGAGAATACAAGCTCTTAAAATGCAGTGGGTAGAACTTTTGATGTTTATTTTTGAGGGATGATACTTTGGGCTCATATGCATGGTTTATAACCGATAATTCCCTCGCATTTAAGAGTATGTACTCAACATTTTTTCATAAAAATTTCCCTGATTTATCCTCTCTGGGTGAAGGGCTTTTGGGAGAATGCCAAGCAACAGCACTGGTATTATAGAATGGGAGCAAATATTTTAAGAAACACCGCAAACGTCAGTAACGCAGGAGAGGGGAGGGAATTTAATTCAAGTTTGAAGGAAATTCTAAGGGGGTGCTCAATGTTACCTGACTTGAGGAAAGAGGAAGGGGGGGGGACTGGAAAAATCGAAAAAAAACCTGACGTTATTTAAGGACCACCTCTTATCAGAATTAGCTAAATTTGAGTGAATGACTGAAAATTTTGCTAATTTACATGCAACTTGAACGTTTTTCTCCAGCAAGGTTTTCTTATTTCTACAGACAACTCAAGTACACACATTCAATGGATTCGGCCAAATGCAGTATTTCAAAGTGTAAAAAGAGAACCCTTTGAAGATGAACGAATAAATCAAAGTACTTCAAAGTATTTTCATTAAAAACGTTAAGAGCTAAATTGAGCATTTTTCAGCAATTCACTAACAGTTTTTTTTTAGTTTTTGGCACAATTTAGAAACATGCTCAACAGATTACATATCTTGATACTCACTGCCTGATGTTCCCTTTGAGGAATAGATTTGTCCTCAAATTTAGAGGTAGAGGGTGAATCGGATATTACAACCCTACGTTCCCAAACATCATTTTCTTTCCTTGTTCGTTCGTTATCTCCCTTGTATGATGAGTGACCATTGTAAGCTCCTGAGTCGTCATCATCAATTTTTTCACCTAGACGTTGTTGCAAACTTGATGGCAGGTTTGCAAAATTGTTGAATTTGGACTGAAAATAAAAAAAGCTACTGAACTAAAACACTCACTACAATACAAAATAAAGCCAGCGCTAATTAGGAGGAGATAAAAAAAATATTATTTATTAAGAGTATAGGCGTGTCCTACCTGTTCATGGTGAGCAATCGAAATGATTCCGTTAAAAAGTAGTGACGTTAAGAAGACCCTTAGCCCCTAGTACCCTATAGCTATCAGAGTTTTCAGAGCTGACAAAAATGAGCTGCTGCTCCTTGTATAGGTTTTACAAACCAAGTAATCTGGAGGGCAGTTATATAAGGCAACCATGTTTTGAATTGGAGCTCCAGCAGTTCCAATAAAGTCAGCAAGTTCTTGGCGACAGCTGCCATGCAGGAGTTTATAAAGAAGTTATGTAGCAAAGTGAATTGATAGTTTAAAAACAAATACTTGCTTAAAACCAGGGTTTTGCTTTCCCATCAAAAGGAACCACCTTGGCTGGCATGGTCAGTTTTTAAGAGCCATCTAACATATTTTAGGAGCCAAATTAACTTTTTGTGTATATATCATAGCAACTCTGCCTAGAGGCAAGTTGTTCTCCTATAGCTGGTTCCAAGCCTAGGAAAAGGAGGAGGGTTGTGCGTATGGCTAGCAACCTTTCAACGTAAAAACACCAAACCTACGAAAACCAAGACGAAGCCTCAGTACTCAGACAACAGACGGGCAAATCGACCTAAAGAGAGTGGATCACGGAAAAAAACCAAGAGTTATGAAAGTGATAGAATGGAAAGAAAAGACCATGGACACAGTAGGATGGAGACGCGTCGTCTTGGAGGCCAAAGCCCACCCCGGGCTGTAGCGCCATTAGTGAGTAAGTAAGTATGCTTCATAGCGCATGAAATTGCAAGTTTGCAAAAAATCGAGGGTGGGCTTCAATTTTTTTAGGCGCCACAATAGCTCAGCTATCCGAATTTTTAGGTGATTTGGCGCATGGCGCCTGGGGCAGGCGGAACACTGCTTTGAGCACCTTAAAGCGAGGGGAAAAATAATTAACTTGACCACGAACAGTCTACTGGGCGGGCAATAAAAAAGTTTTTGCGCCATACTTTTACCTAGTCTTACTACCATAGTTTTTACGACATACTTATCACATAAATCCACTTTAACTTAGCCTTTAGACAAAATTGAAAAAATTGACCTGCAACACTGGCTTCTATTGAAAATGTATTTAAAAAAGGATCACATTTGCTTCCACCTAGAACTTCCTGAGGGTAAATAATGGATCCTGCTTCATTCCGATAATCAATAAGACAAACATAGTTAGTGAACACAAATGAAGTTTGACACAAAGGCATTATCATTAGTGACTGTGAAAAATATTGCCTTAACACCACCACTATACACACAGGGTGTCTGTTGACTAAGGATAAATAAATTCCCTGACTTTTCCACGTTTTTCCGGCCGAAAATGATCAAAATTACTTGACTTTTCAAATCAATAATTTGCATCCTCAGAACTGAAAATAAAAATTTTCAGCATCAATTTTACAGCAAATGCCAGAGACATTTGAACCATTTTCCCTCAGGGTTTTGATCTTTCAATCAATTGAATGATTTTGTTATTGAAACTTGTCCTTCTCTTCCGGATTCAGAGTGTAACTCAGAGCATTGAACCCTGAGTCAAACTGAGGCTTCATTCTGGTGGCGTGGCGTGCATTGCGACATATTGATTGATCTGCCATTTAAGTCTATGGAAATGAATCGATAGACAGGGTGTTTGCAACGAACACCTTAGTAATTGATTCATTACCACAGCTTCCAATGAAGGAATATTGATAATCGATCATCCACGCCTCGCCACTGCTTTGTTCTACTAAATGAACGGTGCTACTGTTCATTCATATTTCACGATTTTTCAAGTTTTCATGATTCCCCTAATTTGATAAAATTCTTTGACAGTGCCCGGTTCTACAGACCTTGAGACACCCTGTGCAGAATAGTGAGAAAAATAAAGCAGGCAGAAGTTCTTTTTCCCAAGCTCCAATAGCATGCGTAAACTCCTCCTTGGTAAAACTTACATTTGGCCTTGAGGCCCGTTTAATCACTCTGATGATCTCAATATCATTGTCTTTATTAATGACATCGACGATTTCACAGAAATCGTCGATGTTAGAGTCTCTATTTTCTGTGCCGATGCGATTCTGGAACAAATCATTTTTGTTGGAGTTACGATTTTTATCCGTAACAGATCCAAGATGTCTGCAGAGAATATTATCTACAAAGCGTCCAAAACTATGGTCATTCTTAGCTCGAGCTGTTAACTAAAGCAAAGTGAAATTATATATAAACTTAGAGCATTCGCAAGCAAATACACAGCACACAACAAGCTGGGTGCGGAAAAACAGTTTAAAAAGGAGCAAATTTGGGACTGTTCCACTGCAATTGATTTGGGCTGGTGCTTTTTCCTGAACACTCATGCAGTTGACAAAACTGTTTTGTTCTAGAGATGGTCAAAGGTGTTCAAGGATTGTTTTACTTTTGAACATTTAAAAAACTTTTAAAACATTAAAAATTATTTAAATATTTTGGTTGAAGTTTTATACCATGGAGCAGTCCCTGGCGGGGGCTGAAAAGTAAAAGGCAAAGTGAAATTTTAAACTAAAGCACTCTAGAGTAGAAACAGCACACACTAAGCAATGTAGGCAAAAAAATTGAAACGGCAAAATTGCGTCTACAGCGAAACAAAATGCTTGACTTCCAATTGAAGAATAAAATAGCACACATCTTTTCTTCAAGCTGATAAAAACAAAAAAGTCATCCATCATTCCAAAAAAGTCCCCCATCCAGTCCATCAAGAGCTCAGATAAAAGAAACACATTTTCTATTAAAAGTAAGAAAAACTCATGAACATTGGCACAACTGATGTAGTGCTGCAATCTATCAGGTTAGGGTCGCGAAATAATTTAAGCTTCCAGCTTTTTATATGCTTACCCATTATGCTTCGTAAAATGACTCAGAAATGGGGATTTAGTCAGTATGAATGAAGAAAAAGAAATTTAAGCTCAAATAAAAGGGATACAATATATGAAAAAAGACATACCAGTCGAGATTGAACAGACGGAGCTTTTTCTGGGGCGCTTTTGGGTGCAGAGGAATAATTGGATGTTGATTGAGATGACGGCCTTTGAGGTTGATTAGCTGGAAATGAAGATGCTGGCTTTGGTGTTTGCCTGTAGGCAGGAAGTGAGGATTCTGGCCTAGGCGGTGGTCGATATGTGCTTGGAGGTGGTCGATACGTGCTTGGAGGTGGTCGATATGTGCTTGGAGGTGGCCTGTAAGGTGGTGGTCGGCCAGAAAAACTACCTCCTCTCCCACCACGACCACCTCTTCCTCCTCTCCCTCTGAACCCACCACCACTCTAAAAAATTCAAAAAGAAGCAGAACAAGATTACATATGGAACTATCCAGAGGTTTCTTTGTCATAAACGGACAAGATCAGAGCTGTTACTTGTCACCAGCACTATTTGAGGTATAGGTGGACACATTTTAAAGAAATGGAAAAGAAAGTGGATCAGAAGCCAAACTATTGCAATACCTCATTCAAAACGAATTGGAAAATTGAGACAGTACAACAAATAGCTCTTTAAATTGGAAACCGCACCGATCATCAAATTTACATCTTTTTGGATGGGTACTGTTCATACTCAGGTATATATTACAAGGGCTAAAGTATTTAAGATTCTATAGGCTTTTTCTTGTGTATGAATCTTTCACTTAAACATCTGCTTTTGAGAAATTTAAAGAGACTCTCAACCACATTAATCAATGTGAAAGAAACTCTTAGCTGCATACATTTTTGAAGGGAACTGACAAGCATGTTGATTAGTGTGTATGAAGTTTTCAAAAGCGGAACAATTAATAATGCGAAGAAAGCTCTTGATTCATTTCAATATAAGTCAAGGGAGATTTGAAGCCCTTTGTTTTAGATGCTGGAAATAATGTCTCAAAAGGACAAAAGACGCTAAGGCCAAGGCCTTGTCCACTTGAGCGCGGTTCGCGGAACTCAGTTCGAGGAACTTGTTCCCGGAACAAGTTTTTAGCTGAGCTAAAACTTATTCCTCCAAAACCTGGAACTTCCCCCGTACTCCGAGCTTCTACATATGATTCTTTTGATGTGAATTTGCTTGTTTTTGTTTTGTACGTCCTTTACAGATCTTGACATTTATCTTTGTTACTTTGGCGGTTGTAATAATCTATTATTTTGCAATAATTGTACAGTTTTATTGAAGTTCCGTTTCCAGTTCGGGCAAACTCGTGTGGACAGCATGCCTCGTTTCAAGGAATAAGTTCCGGGAACTGAGCAGTTCGAGGAATAAGTTCCGGGAACTGAGCAGTTCGAGGAATAAGTTCCGCGAACTGCGCTCGTGTGGACAGGGCCCAATAAAGAGACAAATGTGACTCTAAAAAACTTTCTAGACCACTGTAGGTCTACAAAGTAAAAATTTTTAGTTGTAGAAGCTGGGGAACCAAAGGATTGGATAAATGTCACATCAAAAAATGGCACCATTCAACAGACATTTATGTGCTAACCAATGGGCTCACTGATGATTGATGCATACAGGTTGTTGTGACTTAAGTCCAATCATTTCTTTCCCAGTTCTAATAATGAATCTCAGGCCTTTATTGGATTCGCTAAGAAAGTATGTAAAATGCAATAAAAAATTACTTACCTTTTTCTTTGCTGGTTTTTGCTTGCTAATCATACTGGTAACATGGGCTGAGGTGCCTTTGGCAAGAGCATGAACCATGAGATTGCCCCCTTCATATCTCATGGTTATATCCCCTCTCTCTTTGAGCTTGGTAAGAAACTCTTCCAAGCTCTTGTGTCCGAAATCTTTGAATGGGATGTTATATCCATTGAGGACCCTATAATCAGCTAAGAAGTTGTTCAATGTTACTCAGTACTCTTCATTTAACGAAACTAACAACTTTGGAAGAAACCACTTGAACAAATGCCACACTTCAAAATCTGGGCATCAGGAGAGAAGTAAAATACTCCATCTCACAACACTTCAAATTGCTTCAAGTCAACGAGATGTTCCCCACATTTTTCATTTATTTGTAATGATATTCATTATTTTGGGACATCAAACCTTTTTTTTTTTTTTTTTAAAGATGAAAGAGAAAGTAAATAATTCAAGAACCCATTGTGTTGATATGCTTTCAAAAAGTGAGGGCGTCCTGATGGAACAAAGTTTATCTTGATAATGACAAGACACTTTCAAGGGAGATCATATGAGAATTTTTGAAGGCAATCGTGAATTTCTATGAGTAATTTACATTTCTATGATTGAAAAATCCATCATAATGGGTTGAATAATGGTCAAGGTCAAACTTGATGGTTCAGGATTAGCTATGTTCCATATACATTCAAGAATGAACTCACTTCATGTACAAAATATCGGTGATAAAAAATGGAGTGTGACAAAAAATCAGTGAGCAATCAGGTGCTTGTTATCATAAAACACATTTAAAGAAAACTAAAATAATATGTATTTCATTTGCACACCTAAGACCATGAGCAGTTTGAAGCTTTTTGGAACATTCTCCTTACATTATACGTTTTAGTCTTCACACCTAAGCATCCGCACATAACATTTTATTTAAATTGTTATAGTTGAATCCCAGTGCTGCACACCTTTTTTTCCTTTAAAAATCATAATCAGTAAGTAAAATGCTTTGTATAAAGCTGCATCATTTCAGTGCCTAATTCTTGCCTTCTACTCAGGAAAATCTTCAGAAAAAATAAAATTCACAGGGGGTGTCTTTTTTTTAGAAACCAATAGGAAAAAAAGCTGCTTTATTCTTGATTGACACTGTATACCGACGGTGAAACCAGTAGACACCATATCTAGGTTTGGGGCGTTGCTGACTTCCTGTCATACTTTCTTTCTTTTTTTTGTGGAAAACTATTCAACACCAATCCTTGAACATTTCCATGATTTTTCTTCTTCGTGCGAAGAAAACTCTATGAAAATTTCATGAGATGATATTGATTCTTTCTCTTAAAAAAAATACCTAAAATGGGAGCAGAGATTTTTAAACACCGCAATTGCGATACGTGGTCTGGTAGTTTCACTGTCGATATGCAACTATTAACTTGCTGATGGGCATTTGCAAGGGAATAAAAAGAAATGCTAGCTTCGTAAAATTTTGCAGTTTCTTGGTTATGTTGTACCACTTTTCAACTGTAACCTACATCATTTTTAGTGCTGAACTGGTGTCGCAGAAGGGAGCGATATTGACAAGGTTTTGATCTTTAAAAAATTCCGTATTAAGACAAAGAAGTTGGGGATAACACTTACTATTGACATCTTGTATGCGTAGCGGAGTTTTGGATGAGAGGAGTGCTGCCCTCAGCTCTGAAACAACATTCTCCTCTGTCGGGGCTGGCATTCTGATATTATTTTTAAACCATTCTTGCTATAATACTTTAAAACCTAGGGGAGAAAATAAAAGTTACAATTAAAATGCTAGTTAACTTCTTGTATTTTTATACGGTTTTTGTAATAATAAATAAATAAAATTAAATCAATTCATGAGAATGAAATACAACTCATACATGTGACTTCCAACCATTTAATTCAAACTGGGCAGAAAGAGTTGATTGTAGACAGAGCTTGGTCACATTCTAAGTTCTATCTAAATTTACATCTTTCTAACGCCAACTGAGCACTATCAGAAATTCTCTTAACCATAAATATAGGACGTACTTGGGAGGGGAATTAGTGTCATGTGAACTGACTCAGAATCTCAACTTAAAATGAAAAACAACGACTTTCTTCTTACAATGTAAGTGGGTACAGACTTCACGGGAAGGTGATCATTTGCATGCTGGGGGATAAGCTATTCTTAGAAATGTGACACACTACTTGATGCAAGAACAATGCATACTATTAAAAGAAGAGGTCCTTGAAATTAAGCTGAACCATGATATTGCCACTATCTTGTTGATTCCCTAGGATAGTCACTGCATGATAATTTCAAAATGGATAGCCTGTGTCTTGCTTAATAACACGAACAATTAGAGCCCGTTTCTGATTACTTTTCCTTTTTCGCTGTATGCGTGAGAAAGGGAATTTCCTATCCTGCCCTTACAGCAAAAGGCAAAAAGTAATTTGAAACTGGCTCTACCACTTTCGCAAGTCACAATAGAATATGTGAATATTCAACGATGGATACATGCAAACATGTAACAGATCCACTCTTGACACGTATGCTTACATTCATAATGAGCAACCTGATCACACCTTTGTTACCACTGTATGGAATAGAAAAGTCAAGTACTTATCAGGAGCAGAGCAAGGAAAACCAACAGAGAAAAGAGAAAAAAAATAACAACCTTCTTATCCCATAAAATGAAAAGCAACTTTATCTCCGGAAAGGCTGCTGCAAAATATTAGAGATAAAAAAAACAGGACTTTTTTTTTTAATCAGATGCAAGAAAGCAGAGTCCTTGATTCCCTATAACTTGCAAGACCGAGATTCAAAGACACTTTCATCCCATACACTTAAAGGAAAAGTTGGAAGTGACATTAGGACAAAAACTCCTATGCATACTAAATGACATCGGCGAACATTAATGGGAATGAACATGAGATACCTGCAAACTAACATAGGGATTTACCTACTTCCAGGTAAAAGATTTCCTTTATTCTATCGTCAATTAAAACCCAATGGAAGGTTCAGCGAAAATTCATATTAAGCATCATGTCCAAGCTAATCTTCCATAAGCCTTAACCACACAAGCGCAGTTTGGTCAAATAAATTCCACAAACTGGGGGGTTCAAGGAGCAAGTTAAAGCTGAGTTATGATAGAGCTTGCACGTCATGTTGAGACAAACGTAAATCTCTGATTGGCGCTGAATTAGCACCACTAATGAGGTTAATACATGCAGTCAGATGGCACCACTGATGAGTGGTGCTATATAAAATACTTAGACGTCTGTCTCAACATAAGATGCACGAGCTCTAAGTTCCAGGAACTAGTTCGACCGAAGTTCCACAAACCTTGCTCATGTGGACAAGGCCTTGTAGCATAATTCTAACAGCTGTCTCTCCGAATCTCACAATCAAACAAACCAATTGAGCAGGCTACATTCTGTAATGTGCATGCACTATTGCCACCTGGTGTGGGTGCATATCCATGTAGAGGAGTTTTTAAATTGCAATTGCGGTATCAAGCTATGATTTTATCCCGATGTGATCTTGAATGGCTACAGTGGAGCTGATCACTCTATAAATCAGCTGTTACTTTTTTCTGAGACATGATTCACAGGTCGACAGCATCAGAACGGTTTCAAAATAGACATTGGAATGCTTTTCACCGTGCTGTCGACATACCCGCAAGGAAAATTGAAATGGGCACAGCAAGGCGATAGGTTTGGAAACTCCTCAGTTAACAGATCATGGCAGTACCTATCCCAACAAGGTAGATTGTTCACTAACTGAGCTGCAGCACTGCAGATGAAAAACCTCAATAGTTGAGACAATTGGTCCGTGGGTTACTGATCGAGAGGGTAAGTCCCATGCCCAGTATACATGGTAGAGAATGAAACATTAAGCAACAGAATACCATAACCTAAATATAGCCCAAAATGTACTCACTGAAGAATTGTCTCAGAATATTTCCTGTATTATCACACAGGAAATAGACTCTGAAGCAATTACCACTAACTACGGATGAATGACGAGCTGAGAACTACGAAAAATGTGACAGGTAAACGACCGATATTCCGTGACTCAACTACTCAAGATAAGGGTTAACCACGTTTCTCTCGGCTACAGCAAAGCAACCTGCGGATATTTCGCTCTGCTTTTGTCACAAAGACATGCACAAGTGATTAGAACTAACCGAAAGTTAAACAAAAAAATACTGAGCAGTCGACTGTGAGCTGGATTACTCTACTTACGAACCTTGAAATAAAAGTAGAAGAAAGTTGTGTTGACATGTCAAAATTCAGCAATTTCTGTCCCGTTGTTTCATTTATTTCCAACACGACCACAAGAGCGCTGGCTGCGCGCGATTGCAAGTCAATGTTGCCGGTTGCTACGAATTTA